GCGTGTGTATTGTTCAGCGATCCATCTTTTTGCCCCTTAGCATATCTCATTTTCGTACCTTCCACAGTGAATGAACGTATGGAGATTCGCATTTCTTTACGTTGATTAGATGATTGTTGTTGGGATCTGGCTCGAGAATGCAAGAGTGTTTAGATCTGTAGCTCTGTTTGCACTACGCATGCCATCTGCCTTATGCTGCACGACATCAGCAGCCTAGCCGCCAGGCGGCCCTAAGAAACAAGGCGCCCAGGGACCAATGTTGTGTTGAACCAATCAGACCCATAGCCATATGCGTGACCAAGCTGATCTGTGTTTGCTCTCTCTCTCTCTCTCTCTCTCTCTCTCTCTCTCTCTCTCTCTCTCTCTCTCTCTCTCTCTCTCTCTCTCTCTCGTGTCAAAAAGATTAATTAAGGGACGCGCGGATCGCTTTTTAATGACGTCTCAAGATATTTCGTGATTGATTGACATGTGGACCAACGAGTACCCTCGGACTGGACGCCAGCCTCCCGTATCTCCCATCCCAACGCGACCTTTTCCTTACAGTGAGGAAAGGACACGTGTCTGCGAGTGGGACGTACGAGAAGCGGTCGCACGAATCGACGGACACTACTTCTTCCCTCGCGAAAATTGTTGCTCTGGATTCGTGGATGCGGGCTTTGTCATTATCGATACCCACTTCCCACCCTACTCGATATTGCTCCCCTTTAACGAATTGATCGTCATTCCGAGGACGGCAGTGGCGCCTCATTGGCCTCGAACCTTGTGCACTGAGTGCCAGCGCTTCGATCACTACGAATCGAAAGGCTTTCACTACCGAATACGGAGTGAAGACGAGCACAAGGAAAGAGCCACACAGCTGAGACCATCCACGTCGAACTCAGAACTAACCAGTGAACGACGACGAGACCTGATACGTAAACGAGATACGCGAAGCGTGCCCAAGCCTTTCCGTTCTAAACGACGGACGGTAGCCCGATGGGAGGCACGACAATACTTTTTGGATTGAATTTGGATTTTTCCCTCCTTCCCACCTTGCCCGCGCGCACCTTCCGCGACGCGCGAAAACAATCTACTTGCTCCATCGGACCAACACGGGGGATCTCAGTTCCGTCTGTGTCCCCACACTCAATTTCCAAAAATCCTTGGCACACCCCATCTTGCCGTTTTTTTGGGCCTCTTTTCCGCACAGCTAACACTCCGAACGAAAGACAGCACAGGGCGTGAGGTTGCGCGTCACATGTCACCAGAGAGCTTGGCAAAGCTAGTTTACATCCACTTGAACATGCTGCTACCGCGTGTTCCACAGAGTAAGAACGGCGGATTTGTGGACTCGTGGTATGATTTCGTCGAGCCCATCCCAAAGCCTGAAGAGAACGAGGAATCAGTGTCTAGGGGTCCCGAGGATGAGGCCGGGAAGACAAAGGAGGAGCTTGTAAGAGGACGGAGGCTCGCAAAAACTCCAAAGGGAAGGGTTCCAAAAAATCTCGAGGACGAGGAGGAAGAGTCGTAGCTGACTGTGATTTGGAGATGAGCTGTGGAAGGGGAAGCGTAGATGGTTGGACGACTCAAGTGGCAGCGAAGAGGAGGCCGATGATGACTCCGGTTGCGACCGGAGCCAGCCGCCCCGGGCACGATGTATGTCGGAAAGAGGTGGACTAGACAAAAGCGTAGAGGAGCCACGCTCAACATTGATGGAGCTAGGGGTAGGGGACACAGCACCGTACAATCCGCAATCTAATGTCGAGTTCATACGGCCAGATATGGATGTCGAGATGTGTCTGCAAACCGGGGTGGATGAAGATGAGGAGGAGGATGTTGACATGTTGCTGCATACCTGGGTGGACGAAGATGAGGAGGATGCGAACCGTGCCAAGGCTATGGCTTGACCGGGAGACCGACCTCGTCCACAAACGTATGATGGAGGCGGCGCCCCGACGTGCAGCTATCCCGATCCGCAGAGAGATCGAGAGAGGTCTCAAACAAGTCAGGGAACATCAACAGCAGATCCATCGGATATTGGAGGTTGTTGAAGATGGAGAAGAGGAGGAGGAGCACCAACCAGAGGAGGGAGATGACATCAAGCAGGAAGAAGAGGCAGAGGGCATGGTGCAACCAGAGGAGGGAGCGGTGATGGAGCACCAAGAAGAGGAGGAAGGCATGGCGCAAGGTGGGGAGGAAGAGGAGAGGCAGCAGGAAGAGGAGAGGAATGGATTGGCGCAGCAGGAGGTGCAGTATGACGAGGTTGATAAGGCCCGCGAAGACGAGCACCATCCCACAGCGACACCAATCTACACACGCAGGCCTCGGCCAGCGGAGTTTCCGGAGTCCAATAAGAAGATACCAGAATTTTTCCCAATGAAGGAGGCTGTCCAGCATGACAACCTGTGGGTGAGCAGAGTGGGCAGGAAGAGAAAGGAGCCATCACAGGATGCTCCTGCACAGCCGAAATGTCCTCGTGGCAGACCTCCAAAGCCCAAGACGGACGTGGCCACTACACCGGCTTCAAAAAAAATAAAAACAGCGCGGCAAGCGCAAGATGGTGGTGGAGGATGACCCAGAATCAGCTCACTGCAGCGAACAGCCATCTGAGGACAAGGGCTGCGACGCTGATTCCGAATGAGAGCAGCATGTCCAAGTGTGTGTGTGTGTGTGTGTGTGTTGTGAATGTTCACAACAACATCCCATGTTCCACCCAGATGATTAGATCCAAAATCGCAGCAACTTACCTCTATTGTAGAAGATGAAGCATATGCTTGAGATGAATCAATCCACCAAGGAAACAATGGTGCCTCCATAGTTAGCAACATGAGGCACAATAGAAACGTTACCTTTATGCAAGCAATGCCTTCATGAGTAGATCCAACATCATAGGAACCTGACCTTTATGCAAACAATGCAGCATACTTGAGAAAGGGTTACCCAACAACGAGACAGCAATACGTTAGACAATAGATCAATTATGTCATTTTTTTGCCTGTATTCACTATTGTTATCCGTGGGAGGCCTCCCAGTTTATTTGTTCTTACACACCCCTCTTACTGTGCTTCTCATGTACATGGCTGGCCACGTTGATGATGGTTAAGCAGCAGCTGCCCACATCCCCGTGTGCCTTAATGGCCCACTTGCACGTTATGAAAGGAGGTGACTTGTATTTTGTCTGTTCTCTTAGTGACGCTTGTTCGAATGCGTTTATGAGTAGTGCACAAGTTGAGGGAGTACACTAGCGGAGGGAGAGGAAATGGGGTTAAAAAAGGGGAGAGAGAGAGRGAGAGCAAGGGAGGGAGAGAGAGAGAGAGAGAGAGAGAGAGAGAGAGAGAGAGAGAGAGAGAGAGAGAGAGAGAGAACGCACCGGAGCAGACCATTCTTAGAATGACAGGAGAGGTCAGTCAGTATTCGGGCTGCTGGAGATTTCATGCTAGGGAGCACGTGTGGGCTATGGAAAGGGGCCAGCCCTACAAAGCGGACAGCACCGGTTTGGGTGTGGACTGTGGAAGCATCACATGCAGTCGCAGTTGCTGCAGCGAACCAACAAAGCGGACAGCACCCGTTTGGGTGTTGACTGTGGAATCATCGCATCCAAGTCTTGCAGTCGCAGTTGCTGCAGCCAATGGCTCAGCGTAGGCAGATGTCACAGGCCACGTGGCTCCCACATGCTAGGAACACAGAGGCGCGCCGGCCGCAATTGTAGAGGCATTGACATTCGATTCCCTGTCTACAAATCGGACACAGAACATGTCAGGGTGCCATACATGAGTACAATATTGACAGTCATCATAGGTATGAAAAAAAAATATTGCACGAGCTGTGCCTTCATAATCCTCACGACACAATGCATGCAACCCACATGCTAACCGGATCTCAGGTGGATCATCACAGAGCGGCATTGAGCAGGCATCTTGGGTTCCCTAATTGTCGAGTCCTCTATGGGCAGATGACGATGGTGGCGGTGGGAGAGGGTCAGCCAAAACAAGGGCATCGAGCTGCCTCAGAATTTGGTCCGCAACAATATGCCCCGGTGGTGTAAGCCCTCCTGTACTGTGCACTGCATGCGCTTCAAACGGGACTCTATTTTCCTCCTCAGGCTGCTGGGTTTGTCGTTCGCCGGGCAAGGAAGAGGGAAGTCCGACTGGAGTTGCAGTAGGTGCGTGCCCAAATCGGCATTGTGGGACATTCCGAAAGAGGATGTGGCAGATGATGGCAGCGGGCATAGTCCACACAGTAGAGAGAAACTTTCGATGACGACTTCCTGGTAACATTGACGACACATGGCATGCTGCTGACATGGAATTAGGAACACTGACTGGTATGCGCAGCTATTTAAACATGGGAAGTCAAGGCCACGGCGGCATATTGGGCAAGCAATTAGGGGGTCGGGGGGATGAATACAAGACAAAGAGTCGCAGTTTCCGTGGCTAGCAGTGACCATCCCTTCATAGTGTTCGGAGCAGAGACTGTGCAGTGTGCATGCCAACCGAACTGTAGCTGTGTGACGACACAATGGGAGTGCACAGCCACCGTCCTCAGGAGAAGTCTGGTGATTGCCAGAAGAAGAATCTGTTCGGTCTACACAGGGAGGTGACACTGCTTGGCCATGTGCAGGAGAAGGGGGTGAGTGTTCAGCCGGGTTGCTCTCAGGAGGCTGTTGCACTTGCAAGTGCGAAGGAACATACTGTTCCTGACGGACAAGCCAGATGGAGTGAGAATTTGCTGCTTGGTTGTAGAAAGAGTTCGTACTTCCCACCGTGTGTGTGTTATAAAATATCACCACAACTTCCCCTATTCCACCCAGATCAGTAGATCCAAAGTCATAGCAACTTTACCTGTATTGCAGACAATGAAGCATGCTCAAGCTGAGCCAATCCACCAATGAAACAGTTTTGCTTGTGAAGCGAATATCTGTTCAGAACCTTACCTCTAAACAACCAGGAATCTCATCTTTACACAAGCAATGCAACCCACTTGAGATGGGCCAACCCAACAGTAAAAACAATACGAGAGTAACGAGACACAATGAATTCGTTATATCATTTTCTTGATTATATATTCATCAGCTAGCATTGGGAGGCCTCAATAAATTCGTTATATCACTTTCTTGATTATATTTTCATCAGCTACAATTGGGAGGCCTCCCATTTTCTTTGTTTTTGCACTTACCCTCTTACTGTGCCTATCGCGCACAAGGCTGGCCACATTGATGGTGATTGAGCGCCAGCTGCCCACATCCCCATGTACCTTTACGGCCCACTTGCACGTTATAAAAGGAGGCAGAGTAAAATGAAACGGTTTTCACCTTTGCAGTAGCAGATGCAGATTCCAGGGCTCGATCCCTAGACCTTCACCTCACCCGTGTACAGTACAGTATCGAGTCGACCCCTGCGTGTTTGAACCCGTGACCTGTGTTTTGGTAGTTGACTGTAGTCTGTCATAGGTCTGTGTAGCCGTAGGGATTCGATCTGTAGATCTGTCGAGTAGGGGTCATAGTTGGGCAGAGGCCGTCGCTGTAGCAATCTTGAAAGGTCAAGGTCGTAGCTGCTACAGTCCTGAAAGGTCAAGGTCGTAGCTGCTACAGTCCTGAAAGGCCAAGTCCACAGACTTCCGGAAGGTCGCCTTTCAAGTTTCTTCTCACGTTATTCACAGCAGACCAGAGGCAAGTGGGCAAGTGGTGAGTCCAGCTGCGCTTAGTCAGCGGTACCCAGTCCCAGTCTCACTTTGCACAGTCAGCAAGTACCATGAGGGACTGTGTGCACCATGGGCCCGGTGGAAAAGGGCAGACCAGCGATTTACAGAAGTATAAATCAAGAGGCAGTGTCCAGCCATTCATTCATTCCTGCGTGAGCCATGCGGAAGCGCTGCCCTAGTGTCTTGTGCAGGGTGGTCTGCAGATGCCCGAGGACAAAGTGGGCCGAAGGAAGATCGAGTACCCATAGCTAGGAGGGGTAGACCGGCCATAGCCGCTGTAGCTTAGTGATAGACATCAGTGTGTGTGTGTGTGTGTTTTAGACTGAGTTGTGTGCATGGGATATCCAGGGAGATCCGGTGTCGAGTGCGTGTGAACAGTGGGGTGAACACAGTGGCAACAGAGGATGTGACGGCGCTCAGGCGCCATAGCTGATTGGAAACGAGTTTGTATCTGGACTGTGTTCGCGGCTTGATTATCTCTGAGCTTTGTGTGGGCGCACAGCGCCAGTGTGAATGACCATCTGTTTGCATGTTGCCGAAGTAAAGAAGAAAGCGAGTCTGATTGCAAAAAGGGTAATTAATACTAATTATAATTTGTCTGTTCTCCCAACGACGCTCATTCATATGCGTTTACTAGTAGTACACAAGGAGGGGGAGAGAGAGAGAGAGAGAGAGAGAGAGAGAGAGAGAGAGAGAGAGAGAGAGAGAGAGAGAGAGAGAGAGAGAGAGAGAGAGAG